TCGATATAGACTTATCTCTATCATTTGATATCCAACTACCGGACAACTGTCTCGATTTTTGCAGAGTACTCAGAAATATTATGTAAACTTAACCTTCTACAACTTTCTCCGTTGTATCTTTAATACCTATTGTGTTTGACTAGCTTAATCTTCCTTGAATGTTGCTACTGCACGAATCAATCAGTGAGAATATATTGAAGCTACAATCTCTTACTATAAGTTACAATAGCTTAAGAGACTGTTAACAATAATCGTTCATGTGCATATTCATCATCATCAACTGCATTTAATAGTCCACTTTTAAGTTCTCCTTCTCTTTGCAATGCTGTTGTCCTGCGTAGCTCGCTCCTTAGTCGACTCTTACGACACTCACGGGATAAACAGGGTGGTGACACTTCGTATTCTACGTCACCGTATGGATATTTTAGGTTAACATTAAATATTAGTATATTGACATTTGATACCATAAGCATAAAAACTTCTGTTGGTATTTTTTAATTTTTCTTGAGAAGTTTAAACAAAAATGCATGGTATAAACTTAAGCAATACTAAATGATGGTTCTCGGATATAGCTATCGAATCTAGACTAATATAATAAAGATAAATACATTTTTCTTTTCCAAATTTAATAAAGTAATAAAGTAAATATATAAATCAAATTAATGAAAAACGATTGTCGTCAAATTACACTCGTGGTAAGTAACAAACTCTCTTTTTTTTGTAACTGTAACGTTAACGTATACTGTAACTTTAAATTCAACGTTTTTTTATTTGTCATCTTATAACTCAAAAACTGGGTGATTTTTTTTTATGTTAGAGGGGGCAGACGAGCAGACGGGACACCTGATGGAAAGTGACCATCGCCGCCCATGAACATCTGCAACTCAAGAGTCACAAACGCGTTGCCGGCCTTTTAGGAAGGAGTACGCTCTTTTCTTGAAGGTCTGATATAGGTATTATACATTATTTAAAATGTGTGCTTAAAATATTGACATGTGTCAAATCAATACTTTTGACAATCATTTTTTTTTGTTGCGGTGACATTGTGTCTTACTTCATAATTCCTCATTTAAATAATTGTCGATTGACTTAAATGATTTTATGAAATATTTTTTTGATTGATGATTTTATGGAATTTACAATACAGGGTTACTGGTCAAGTCGATCTAGATATTTTAGGGGGTTGTAGTGGTCATTATTACTAATAGATTACACTATAAAATACCACATTTCAAACCTAACCATATTTACGATGTTGGAATATTAAGTTTAAAAAAATACCAATAGTTTTCCCTAACACATTTTTTTTTATATATCTTTACATTTTTTTACTGTTTTTTTTTTGCCATGAATACATTTTTTCATTATTTCCATTACCAAAATTTTAGTTAACTTCCCAAACTGCAAATCTGTTAAAAGACATGCATGTATTGAATGATTAAGTTTGGGATATGGTATTTCATAGTAAAATCTGTGAGTAATAATGGCCACTACAACCCTCCTCAAGTATCCAGGTCGACTTAACCAGTAACCCTACATATATCAATAGTGACATTGTTCGTTGTAGTTAAATCCTATTTATAGAAAATACCTTCTACCACGAAACCTGTTAATCTTAAAACTAACAGACGAAGTCGTTGCTTTACGGGAATCACGTTTGGGAATAGAGAACTAATGGAGTGTCAACTAAGGTAGATAAATTACTGTGGTACGAAGGTTTGTTCTCGCGTTTTTAATAGGAAAATAAAATGTGTGGAGTAGAAAACTGTTTATATTTTCACTTCTGTTCGCGTAAGGCTTTTGATCTCGTATGCTTTTAAGAGTATATTTAAATTAGATTCTAAGGAACTGAAGCTTAATATTTGTTCCATTTTATTTTATTTAAAGAAGTTTATTTCTGCTTAAAGTACAAATATTCAGTTTCTTTGCCTTTTATGATTATTTCATCTTAGATTTGTCGAGGCGTTTCAATAAGCTTACCTCAATATGAGTAGGGTTACTGTTTAACCTAAATATTGAGAAAGATTTCCTTTATAATTTTAGAATTCCATACTGAGTACACACTCGATTTCTTCGATTGTCGTTTTATTTGTAAACTCCTTTTTAAAGGGTTTATTTTTCCTTATATCAGCTCAATAAAGGTCAAGTAAAATATTTGAATTTATTGAGGCCCAAAATGTTGGGCAAATAGGAATTCCAAGTGTATCTATTTCCGTACTCGAGGACAGCCTTCAACGTGGATGTCGTCGATTTCTGTTAAATCCTATAATTTATTTTCTGAAATATAAACACTATCTCGGCGTGCTCTAGACAAGGTTTTACATGATGTTTTTTAGTTTCATAGTTATGCTTTTATATATGCTATTGTGTATATATTTATTTCATAATTTTCTTTAATAAACACAGTTAAACTGAAAAAAACAGTAGCAATTCCAGCGATTAGTGTTTTCCAAAACAATAGCTAGAATTTTGTTACTGATCAAGTCATCAATCAGATCGCAAAAACAATACAAGTTCTAAAACTAATAAAGAACCTAACTTTTATAGAAATTAACTACTCGTAGTAGGTCCGTGTAGTGCTGGATTAAGAATACAGAGTGTCACCACCCCTATTCATCCCGTGGGTGTCGTAAGAGCCGACTAATTGAGAAAACTACGCAGAACAACAGCACTGCAGGTATAGTAGGCCAAAACCTCTTTTCTAAGGAGAGGCTTATGTCCAGCAATGGACTATTAAAGGCTGTTGATGATAATGACTCTTAGTAGAACCATAACTTGACCTAATAAATAGACTCGGGTTTTCTATGCAACTATCTACTTACTACATTTACAATCATTATAAATCATGACCTGGCTCTTTCATCACATCAACAACCTTTAATAGTGCCCTACCGGACATAGGCCTCTCCTTAGAAAAAAGGTTTTGACCTACTATACCACGCTGGCAATACGGGTCGGAATAAGGTTCGTGTCAAGTTTTCCTTCTCATTACAGTGTTGTTGTCCTGGGTAGCTTGCTCCTTTAGTCGACCCATGGAATCAATAGGGGTGGTGACACTCAGTATTCGTAATTCGTCACCACACGGAGTCCTCATTACGTAGTTGGGACTAAAGACAACTGTGTGCGTTGGGCATAACTATTAATATACGTATACTAGCTGACCCAGCAAACGTTGCTTTGCCATATACATTATTTCTAAGAAATATGAAAAAAAATAGGGATGGGTCACTCTTGTCATTTAGGGATATGAAAAATAAATGTTGGCCGATTCTCAGACCTACCCGATGTGCACACAAAATTTCATAAAAATCAGTGCAGCGGTTTCGGAGGGGTATGGTAACTAACATTGTGACACGAGAATTTTATATATAAGATTTATTCTATGTAACTGCAAACTACCTTATTAAATAAAAACTAAAATAAAAACAATCTTCTAAAACTTTTTGACAAATAAATCGACAAACGCCACGTCTGTAACTACCACCCAACTAAAGCACTACATTGGACATGACGTGAAAATCCGTTGGTCGCTATATTCTGTTTGCATTTTGGCCTACTTTACCACGCTGTCCAGACGGTATAGGGTTGGTGTCAAGTTTTTCTCATCTTTACAGTGCTGTTGTCCGTCGTAGTTTGCTCCCTTAATCGGCTCTTACGAGACCAACGGGATGAATAGGAGGATGGTAACACTCCGTATTCTTAATCAGTCACCACACGGATAAGCGACTTACCGGAACAGAATAGATAATAGTACTAACTACCCCGTCAGTGTTAAAAAACAACCGGGAGTAAAACTGTACCTACATCTCTGATAAACTATTATAAATGTTAAATTTATAATGGTTTGTAAGTATTATCCAGTTCTTTTCTATCAAAAATCATTTTTTAAATCTTTAAATTTTAGAAATTTAACCTTGATCTAAAACTTCGATTTAATAATGTAAGTGGGATAACTTAACAGTATTTGCTTGTTAAATTTAATGATCGTCAAGAACTTTACAAGTTAAATATTTAATGTTTTCTTCAGAATAACAATAAATATAAAGCTACGAAGTTTTCTACAGGAAAGCATTATGAAAAGGGAGGTTGGACCTCTAATTAAACTGATTATAGAGAACTTACTAATCATTAGGTGATTGTACTTTTTTTTAATAATAGTAGTAATAGATAAGTCCACTAGCTACATAGTGATCTTATGGATGAAGGAATCTTTTAATTAATGTGTGGGGATCAAACGAGCAAATCGGACACCTGATGGTAAGTGACTAGCGCCACCCATTGACACCTGAAACTGAAGAGTCACAATTGTGTGGCCGCCCTTTGAGTGACCCTGAGAATTTTAGAATAATATACAATGTTGATGTACGACAAGGGCGGACGCGATTCGCCTGTTCTTAGCTACTTCGGCTTTAGTTCTGGTTCCCCACCCGAGACTTGTAATATCTCTTACCATAGATTCCTCGCTCTATCCGTTTTCTTTATCCCTATTTTGTACTGTTTTAAAATGATTATATTCCAAAGAAAAAAGGTTGGTGTTCGGCAGACAGCTGGCCATAAAAGAAACTAACCAAAATGATTTGCAATTCTGAAGATACCCAGAAAACTTCACACATCCACATCAACAGCCTTTAATAGTCCACTGCTGAACATAGGCCTCTCCTTAAAAAGAAGGTTTTGGCCTACTATACCACGCTGGCCAGACGGGTTGGTACAGGGTTTGTGTCAAGTTTTCCTTCTCTCTGCAGTGCTGTTGTTCTTCTGCGTTGTTAGTCGGCTCTTACGACACCCACGGGATGAATTGGGGTAGTGACATTCCGTATTCTTAATCCGTCACTACACGGACAACTTGAGGACATGAAGATTATGAAGAAGATTATTATACTCGTACATATTATAAGGGTAACATTATATCTACATAATTTTACTGAAGTGAAGTACAATGAGAAATGAATTATAAATGAAAGCTATAGCAAATAATACGGAATCGAAAGTGTACTTACTTATTAGAATGATAAAAATTATCGTTGTGACGAACTTTGAACTTTTTTGATACATTATGACTGATCTGAAACAAAGACAAAACATTACTAAGTATGATTACTTATTCTAAAAAAAATATTCTATTATGGACAAAAACTGAAGACTGTTCCCCGTGTGACTAAAGAGATGAAACATTATTTGAAGTAACTAAACTTATTGTAAGAGATTGTACACTACGAATAAAAATGGCTGAAGCCGTCCTACTACACTAGTTATTTATTTATGTTAGTTACTTTATTATCGCCCCGTGGAACATATGGGGCATGATCTCATTGGGATCGATCATGTGATTTTGGAGAAGGGCGCTGCAGTTCGCAATAAATGGAGGAAGCTTGTGATGGACGCGCAATTCACGATAACACCTGGTTTCATAAATTGGCATAAAAGAGAGTGAAGCGTCACAGAGCTAAAAATGACCCAAAAACCGGTAGTTTTATGCGCAATATTTGCCGCAGAACCTGTCGCTCTAGAATTGGCTTACATAGCCACGTAACAAAGTCGATATCGATACGATATCGTCCCAATACTTCTAACTCTAACAATAACGAAATGGAAATAATATATCATAATTTTTAAATGTGTGACGCACCGAAAACTGTCCTTTTTTCTTTAGAAGCGCATTGCAAGCCACGTAATATTCGTCACGAGAAGTTAAAAAAAGCATGGGAAAACCAAAAAACATATTTTAAATAAAGCTTGGTTCTTTGTCAATTACCAAAATTAACTATTCGAATCATCAGTTAGGTATTTGGTTAAGGTAATTGAAATGAGGCAATGGGGTTTAGTTGTTTAATTCTCACGGTAATTATTTGCTTCGATTGTAATGGTTTGCTTAAGTTTAGTAATCTCCTATTGGTTACATTCTTATTCTATTTGTGGAAGCTTGGCGACATTAGAAACAACAGTGCTTTAATGTAGTGGCAGTAATTGTCTTGCATACCGAGTTAAATAAGCGGCAAGTGGCATTGCAATTTACGAATTGACGTTTTAACTGTATTAACAGAGAGAGGCTGGAAGGCACTGACTTACTGACTGAATGATAAGAAACAATTATAACACGTCATCAAATTGTTACAGATAATAAAATATATAAAAACCCAATCATAATTATTTGTCCCGAGTGGTAATCAAACCCACGACCTCTGGCTTAGCAATCAGAGTCACTAACCACTAGACGAACAGGCCCTCCAAATTTGAGACTCTGACGGGAGTAAACGCTCGTTAAAGAAATCAGCGTTTAGACAGCACTGCATAGTGACAGCTTCGTGAAAGAGCCACGAGATTGACGACGCACACCAAAAAGTACAGTTGTGCTTAATAAACAAATATAAAATTATTAATACCAAAAAGTACAGTTGTGCTTAATAAACAAATATAAAATTATTAATACCAAAAAGCACAACTGGGGTTTATGGTATTAATAATTTCATATTAAAACGACAGAAATATTGAAAATAAAAATAAATAAATGCTAGTTCATGTTTCAACTGTTGACATTTTTGAAAGATTAACTGCGTTGTACAACCACTTTATTTTATAACCCTGCCAGGTTTACGAACAAAATGATTCGCAATTTAACTAAATGTTCGACGGAATTATTAAACGGTTTTATATTCCAAATATAATAAATATTCTCGTGAATAACATCAAACATCTTCAGAACAAGATTACCGACAAGTTGATCCTTTGAATGAATAAAATCTCCAGAACTTCTAAGAGGCTCAATAAAAACTTTATTACCTACAGACGTATAATAAAGTGATTATATAAGTATTCAGAAATACTGATATCAATTGCTTATGAGAGAGGAAAAACGTTAAAAGTTAATATTCCTTAAATAACTTCCTTTAATACTTTACCTTTAGAATAACTTTTAGAATAATGTTTTTTTTTATTTATATTTTTTTTTATAATAACTAGACACATCTCACACACGGCCTTCTGAACCCAAACTAGGAAGAGCCTGTATTATGGTAACCAGGCTATATAACCAGGGTATAGAAACATTACACCCAGACACAGAACAAATAATCATACTCATCACACAATATTTGTCCTGGGTGGGAATCAAACCACTAGACTAACAGACCCAGCTTAAGAGATAAAAAACTTTTCAAAACTTAAATAAATTGATAACACATTTCATAGTAAGAAGTACTATGATTGTTATTTTTTAATCCATAATAACAGTTATACTAGTAATACTACGAGTAATCACTCATTTCCGTTACCACAAATAGAATAATTCTACCAAAAGCGAGAATGAAGAGAAATGCTGAATCCGAGAAAAAGTTTTTTGTGGTTCTTCTAGGTATGCATATCATATAATCTCTAGACTCATGAAAGAAATACCTGCTAAAATTTCCCCTCTAATTATCACTTGAATTGGAAACATCCGATTTTCAAGATTTAAATTCTTATTTCTATTAAAATATTTAAACGGTAGCCACGCTTCATTTTCAACTAATCATTATTTGGACTTTAATTTAAGATATTTATTATTAAAACAGTTGTAACTGTCGACAATTTTCTCGCTTTTGTATTTTTTTTTATTTCAATTATACTCGCTTATGTCCCATGGACTATTTCCTTAAAAGACTTATTAACTGCTACTTATTTAGTATTAAGTAATTATATTAATAGTTTGTGAAGATGACGTGTTTTCATCTCACCAAAATTGGACTTTTACAAAAACCAAAATTAGGACATTGCATAATTTTATCGAGATTTCTTAGTCTTCTGGTCTGCCAATGATAACCAAAACGCTAATTTTTAATAGCATTCATTAAATCTCTGTTGTATTCGTGATTTGCGTCATAGAATTATTATTCACAATATATTAATAAATTAAGGCTAACATTTAAGCCTTACATGGTTACATTGACCAGTTTCAACAATCATAAATAACGATTTAAATTTATTGGTGCAATTAATTACAGCTTAATGCATTGCTGTACACAGTTACATCACAACCTGACAAAGCTTATACGTTACCGATTACGATATGTCTCACCTATTTTAGTTACACTTGAGCTTAACATAATTGGGGTTTAAACTGTTGATCACTCCACCGTTTCAGTGCCATCAATAGAGGGTGAAATTTGTATAAAACACGTTAATACTCACTGCTCACGCGCTCACTCACTCACTACTATCAAAAAGGTGATAAAAAAGTTGTCAAGTCATAAATATTGCCATTCATTTCGAAGTCAGGGAAGTTTATTCTGACTTGGAAAGGCGTGAAAAGCGGCCTCTAGAAATGAAATCATTCCACTACTTTTATAAAGGCAAATTTTGTATGAGTGTTGCAATTCAAAAACACCACAACTGCTAAACGAATCTGGACGAAATTTAATACAAAGACCTTAAATATCAAACATACAATACAAACTGGCGCGCAACTGCTAGTTGATTTGTGATTATAAACATTTAACAGGCCAAGTATTTTCAAAGTTCTTTTTAGAATCACTTTTTATTTTCCTATGGATAAATTATTTTACTAAAATTTAAAAATTGTTTTTGCTACCTTTACGTTACGGAAACTACAAACTTTATTTGCTAAGTGGAAAACGAATCCTAACACGTAAGGATTTTATTGATATTATTAAATATATTTTATGATGAATGTGAAATTCTGCTATCTGTGTGTATGGGACTAATCCCACCCACACGCCCACCACTGTAACTCCTGTACACCAGGATCCACAGCAGTGACCCACGAACACACCGAGTTATGACACTCGGGAAGTCCCAGGAAGAAATTAAACTGTCTTGGAACCCGCAACGAAATTAATCAGAAGAAAATTGGAGGAGTTGGAAATACAGTAAATCCACTTCCCTCCTTAGCAAAGCGGGAGACAAAATGAAGTAAAATGGGCATACACCCTTTTAAACAGGGAAGCACCACGGCCACAAATATTACGGGTCCTACGTGAGCTATGTTTGATTTCTATAATATGTATGGCAGAATCGCCTAAACGCACGGAAATTCACCCTAGTTGACACAAGATCCCCATAGTATACCGCCCCAGATGTCACCTGCAAGCTATTCAGCATTATATTACGTTCATTATACCAAAGACTACATTCCCAGAGGATATGATGAGCAGACTGTTCATAGTGATAGTTAGGTGTTGAGCATTGACACACTGGTGACTCGACTAATTTAAATGAATAAAGCTTGCTCTTAAAGTTACCATGACCCGTAAGAAATTGAGCGACACAGTGATCCACCTCAAGCCATATCCTCGACAACCGTTCGCGAACAGATGGAAAGAATTGGTAAAGATGGCGCCCCTTGGATGATTCATCCCAGCGTTGTTGCCATTCGTCTATGAGGTCATTATAGACATCGGGCTGCTGTTGAAGCAATCTTGTAATTTTACCGCGATCCCGCGCGCCCAAAAAATCGCATTCCATGTTTTGTTGTCTTGAATACTACATGGCTGCACGTCTCTGCACCTCGAGATCGACCGGAAGCACACCCGCCAACACCGGCAAAGCCTCAGTGCTAACCGTCCTATATGCCTTGCACAAGAATATCAGTGCAAGTCGTTGACCTTGTAACAGTTTGCGACGGACAGCGCCTACGGTCGCCCTATCGGCCCATACACCATAGCACATAGAACCTAAATAAGTAGCTCCGTATATGAAATTTAATGTATTAAATGATAGACCCCATGTCGCAGTTGAAATCCTTGTCAATGCATAGAAACTCTTTTTAGACTTTTCATTAACTATTTTAATATGTTCGATAAATGAAAAGTTTCTTTCTAAAACTAATCCTAGGTAACACACTGAGGTTTTATTTTTTACAGTAACATTGTCAAATCGAATGCTTGGCGGTGATTTGAGGTTACCTTTTAAAAGTAGCTGGAAGGTTTTGTTGGGTGCAAAAGTTAAGCGATTACGTTCACCCCATTGACATATCAAGTTCAAACATCTATTGGCTGATCTCTCAAGTCCCGCCCTATTATCAGATTCCACCAGTAATAAGCCGTCATCAGCATACGCGT